GGTATCCACAAGTGCTTCCACGGGTACATTGTTCAAAAGAACCTGTATTACAAGTAATTGGGAATTTTAACTACCACAGTATTTACAATACATTTTAGAGGGATTTTTCGATGCTCAAGGGGTCTGAACCCTCAAATTCTCAGACCCCTCTGTTGATTTAAAATCATTTTCCCTCCTGATGTTTTCTGGGTACGCTGGTGGATTTTAGCTTCGTTCTTTTCATTTTTGCTCGTTAACGACTTGGCTACGAAACGCTTTCCTCCGTTGTATTTATTTCTTTTCGTGGCCGGATGTCGGGATAACACTGATTATATCACTGGGCAGGGAATCTTGAATCTTCTGTTATCCGCTGATTATGAAACTTAACTGCTAACTAGAACAATTCTTCGAGCGTTCGTGGATTTCTGTGTTCCACGAAGTCCTGAACCACGGGTAATAATATTGGCAATATAATTTCGATAACTTGGCTGTCCGGTTTTCTACCGTACAGCATATTCCCTAGCTTAACTTTACGCAAAATAAACTCGGTAAGTTTCTCAACTCTCCGTTATAAAAGCTGTATAGTTCGGTTCCAAGCTTCGCACGATCTTTAACTATCGGGAACGCTTTTAGGAGTGCCGCTTTGAAATTCTCGAATCTATAGGTGAGTGTTCCAAATTCGACAAGTAAGAATTTCCCAATTCCTTTCCACCAAGACTCTGCCTGTCCTCGGAGGGCACTCGAGGCAATAGCTACCTTCTGCCTTTCCGGTACCGGATACAATTAGAAGTGAGTATCAAAGGCTTCTAGAAATGAAGTGAAGGAGTTCTTGCCGTCAAATACCACCGCTGGTTTAATATCCGCCCTCATCGTCTGTATCAGGAAGCCAAATCCATCTAAGGGGTTGGTCACCATTGGGTCTACAACGAAACTAACTGAGCCTTGTTCGTTGGCCATCGGATTCGCGTAGTAATTCGGGCGCCAAGGTAAAATTTAGCAGGTTCACTTCTGTGTAAAAACTAGGATAGTAGTAACTGCACAAGAGAAGGGTCAAACGTACCCTTTATTAACTCTTTAAAATTTACAATGCATCAACTCGATACTAACAAACCACGCCTCTGCTTGGACGGTAACTGAAAATCATATAACGAAACTAAAAGTTTGAAGACATTAACAAGTGATAGCACTAAACTACAGGGCTCAGTTAGATCCCTCTTCGAAATCATAAACCCTCTTCGAAATCATAAACCCTCTTCGAAACTAGTGGTAGCAAGTAAATGCAATTAAGCCGCGTGAACCAGCGATAAGCAAATGTTTAAACAGCAATGTAAGCCTAACTCTCCTCTTTCCTACAGAAACTCGGTTCTTAAATTCTATCTGCAAAGTAGAATTTGCATTCCTTCACTCGCGCTACCAAATTTAAATATTCTGGCACTGACAATTAGGAGAATGAAGGCTTCCAGGAAAGAACAGCAAATTAAATAAAATTGGTTATTTAAAGTAAATATAAATCTCTACAAAGTATGAGGTATTAGCAATTCCAAGCGAGTATCGAACTGCATACAGAACCATAAGTGTTTAGTAATTTTGGTCGTTCAATTCCTAATAAGGGCACATCTTAGGATTTTAAAATTTTGGTTTCGGAAAACCAACAGAGTAATGCAAAGATTATAAAACAAGTGACAATATGGAGAGGGGAAACTATTTCCGTCTATTTGCATAAATTTTGAGAAAAATGAATTTTTATTTTGTGATAAAAAGTTATAAAACTAAATGGATAAATTAGGAATAAAAAATATTGTTATAAGTTTATACAACTATTTCGTATTAAAATTTCAACCTTCAATCTTAAAAACCTGTTAAATGAGATATGCATTATATATATTTACATATATATATATATGTAATGCAGATTTCATTTAATACGATTATATATATATATATATATATAATAGACCTTCTTCATCGTCTTAATTGCCTCTTCCTCAAATGAAGACTTTTTAGCATAATTTTATTTTTCTGGTCTTGAATCAGTTTTGCTTTTCGTGTATTTCAGCAAGTTCTTCCCAATTTTTGGAAAACATATCAATCTCTGCTTTTAACTTATCACAAAGACCAAAAATATCCTTCCTTGTATAATCAAATCCTTTATTGAACTGAGGATTAAAAATATCTGGGAATTTAATAGACGGTATTGTATCACATTTAATTTTGTGGTGTTGAACTCCTTCGGCAGGCATATTTTCTTTCTCTGTTTCAAGACTTTCCCCTTGAGTTAACCGATGAACTTGATTGCTTTAGAAATAGCTTTTCAAAGTAATTGCGTATTTTTTGTTTGTATGCTTTTTCTACTGCCTACCGGTGCTTTTCTGTCAACAGCTAAAAATTCGCTTAATTTTTTGATCCGAGCGTTTGCAATACCATGGAATAAAGCCAATAGGTTTATACAAGCCTGCACATTATTACATGTCCCTTCTCAAAAACAACGTGCTCGACTAGATTAAGACGTATTATGTGAAACTTACTTATTTCCCAAACGAGATCGCTGTCGCATAACAGGCAAAAGCATCATAAGATTGACGAGATTTTGGGTGTTATAATTTACAAGTTCATTAAAAGCTTTGAGAATGCGTTCTTTTTCACTATCATAAATCAAAGAAAAGTTACTGAAGAAGCCTGCACTTATAGTTAGGTCCAAACTCACGTGTGGCTGCTCTTAATATTTCCATAACATCGCGGATTCTCCTTGATCATTGACAGAAAACTCGTCACTAGAGTCTTCACGTTTCATGCTCACAAATACTACTGAGGAGCTGATAGACGAGCTCAACAGATCGTCGTTAAAAGAGACAAGAAGGAATATGAATAAGTCTGATAAAGGAAGTTGTACATAAATGCTCCATCTTGCCGAGTGGACAGAATTTCTTTTTATCTAGTGCTCAAAATTCTTCCTCGGTTACGGTAAGAGAATTTTGCCATGAGTCTTCAAGTCTAATTGTAATTATCTCCTTCATTTGATTTATATTTATGCAAAGTATGCTGTAAGTCTCTTTTCTATGTATGTTACTTATTCTAACTTTCAATGCTATGTCCTAATATAATTATAAGGAAAAATGAACATGGGGCATCCGACCAAGCTACTTTCCCTTTAAATACTAAATTATTTTACTCAAGATTTAAAACCAGTTGTTAAGTCCCTCTGAAGCCAGATGGCGTTGCCATCGTTACTGTTTACAAAAAGAATGTTAATTACTTTGGAGTTGGCTTCAATGGCGAAGCAGAGAGTGATTGTGGGAGCCTGAGCGTCTCTCAAAAATTAGTATAATAAAGATAAAGATATGTTACAAAAGTAGTTTGTAAATTAGTTTAATTGAGAGTTACAGTCCATTTAGAAATCGCCGGATCATTTGAGTGGTCCAGTAGAGCCGCAGAGATATCAGCTAAATAAATAATCTAGTGTAAAACAGTGAGTTTGCCATTTTGTTTCAATGGAATTTGTGTTTGTGGATTATAGCCAGTTGCTGAAAGAAAGGGCTAAGTAAAAAAACCCTTGAAACTCTATTCATTATTAACTGTTGCATTTAGTAAATTCTGAATTAAGTTTGTGTGATAATTTGTTATTGATAAGTGTAGCGAAAATGGCTACGAAACTGAAAGATGTTCTCACTAAAAAGAGAACTCAAAAAACTATCTTATCGAAGTTGCAAAAGAAACTTTGTGAGCCAGATTTAAGTGTTAGTGATTTAGAATTGTTAAAAACTAAATTTAACAATCTGCAAAATGAATTCGATAATATTTTTGATTCTATTATCAATTTAAGTAGTGAAGAAAATATCGAAAAAATCTTCAGTGAGCAAGATGAAATCAATAGTAGTATTATTGATATAGAATTTGAAATAAATAATAGATTGTCGAACGTTGTTAAAGAAAATAAAGTAGAAAATGCAGTAATTTCTGAAAATACTGTTGTGCGTTTACCCAAGATTTCATTACCAATATTTTCAGGAGAAATGCATTCTTGGCTTTCCTTTAAGGACATTTTTAAAGCGAGTATTGATCAAAACCCAAATTTATCAGATGCTGTAAAATTGCAATATTTGAAATCAGCACTGAAAGGAGATGCTTTTAGAATTATCCAAACGATAGCTATAACGGATAATAATTATAAGTTAGCGTGGTCTCTCCTTGAAGAAAGATACTCGAATCCTAGAGAACAAGTGTATGCTCATCTTAAAAGATTTATGAGTATTCCCGTTATTCAAAACGAGTCAGCTTCTGCGATTCTAAATTTAATTGATGTTACAAGTGAAGTTGTAAGATCGTTAGAATGTTTAGAACAAAAGTTAGATGGGGTTTCATCCGCTATATTTGCCTTTATTCTTAGCCAGAAACTTGATCAGAATACTAAGTTATGGTGGGAAAGGAATTTAAAGAAAGAAAAATACCGAACATTACAGAGTTATTAGAATTTCTAAAGGATCACGCGAGGACATTAAACGCTTCTAGAATTCCAGTAATGTCTAAATCAAAAGCTTCAGTAAGTCAATCAAAGGTTTCTTCAATGGTTTCATGTGTGACTGAAAAACGTGCTTTAATTTGTAAACTGTGTAATGTGGAACATAAATTATTTAAATGCCCTAAATTTCAAAAATTCAGCTTAAAGGATAGAGTCGAGTATGTTAAAAAGCACAACTTATGTTTCTGCTGTTTTGGAAATCATGGAGTGAGAAATTGCCCTTCAAATTACTCTTGTAGGCTATGCAGAAAAAAGCACAATTCGTTACTGTGTTATGAGCGAGAAAAAGTTTCGATTTCCCAAAATAGAGAGAGTTGCGAAATCGCCTCTCTGTCGGATCAAAAGTCAGACGCCAGTTCGTCTACAGAAGTAGCGAAACTGAACGCTCACGCAAAGCCATTTATAAGTAAGGATAGCGAGTGTTTTATGACAGCTAATGTAAATAAAAATTGTAATGCAGTTAATAGAGTCCTACTATCGACAGCGATTGTTTATATTAAGGGAAATGGAAGAGAAATATTTCCAGCCAGAACTTTTGCTTGACAGTGGAAGTATGATTCATCTTTGTTCATCGGAATTAGCTGAGAAGCTTCATTTGCAAAGAGAAAATGTAAACCTATCAGTAGGATGTTTATCTGGGATTTCAACAACGGTGAAATCAAAAATAAGTGCGGTTATTTTAAATAGAGGAAACACATACAGTCGTAAACTAGATTTTTTCGTAATTCCGAAAATTACTCATTTGATGCCTTCTAGACAAATTGATGTCTGTAATATTGAGATTCCACAAGGAGTTACGTTAGCTGATCCAGACTTTCACAAACCGGGTAAAATTCAGTTACTTTTAGGATCTGAAATATTTTTCGATTTGATAAGATCCGGGCAAATTTATGTACCAAATACAAATTTAGTGTTACAAAACTCAGCATTTGGGTATTTGGTAAGCGGTAGCATTGAAGATTTACCACATGAGAAACAATTAATGCATTGTGGGTTAATTTATGACAATGTCGAAGCACAGTTGAAAAAAGTTTTTGATTTGGAATCAATTGGTATCAGAGATGATCCCAATTCTTACGATGAAGATAAAGCATTAGAGATATTCAACAAAACTGTTAGTTTCAAAGATGGTCGTTATATTGTTAGTCTGCCTTGGAAGAAACGTTGGGAACATTTAGGCGACAATTTTGGTGTGTCGCAGAAAAAAGAATAAAAATCCTGATGAGAAAAATGCAGCATGATAATACATTATACCTGAAATATAGAGAAACTTTAGAAGAGTACCTAAATCAAGGGATAATAGAAAGAGTATTAGATTCTACGAAACCAGTAAACAAGCCAGTTTTTTATATGCCGCATCAGGCAGTTTATAGAGAAGAAAGCATTACAACAAAAATGCGTATTGTATTTGATGCGAGCTCACATGAAATAGGTAGTCTGTCCCTGAATGATTGTTTGTGGCCAGGTATTAATCTGAATCAAAATATATTTCACTTGCTGATATATTTTAGACTTAATAGAGTTGCAATCTTAGGAGATATCGAAAAGGCATTTTTACAGATCGTGTTAGCTGAGAAAGATCGAGATGCAGTTAGATTTTTATTTGTTAAGAATATTGATACACCTTTGCAGAATACCGACGATCAGCTAGAAGTGTATAGATTTAAGCGTGTGCTCTTTGGTGTTAATTCCAGTCCTTTTTTGTTAGCGGCAACTATAAAGCTGCATATCCAAAAGTACAGAAATGTGTATCCCGATACCTTTCAAATTCTTGATACATGTATGTATGTTGATGATCTTGTTACAGGAGCAGATGATGTATCAGAAGCCTTAAAAACTTCAAGGGAAGCAAAGGAAATTATGCGTGGAGCTGGGATGAATCTACGCAAATGGGTGACGAATGATTATCATTTAGCTAAAAAATGGGAAGAAGAAAATTTTGATATTCATCCCCTAAGCTCAAATGAAAAGATACTGAAGGTATTAGGAATTCAATGGAACATTCAGGAAGATAGTTTGAGTATAGAGACTTCTTGTTTGACGAAAATTTCGAGGAGAAAGAAAAGTACCAAACGCTTCATCCTCCAAACAGCTGGAAAAAATATATGATCCTCTTGGACTCATCACACCATTCACTGTTAGAATAAAACTTTTACTACAAAAGCTATGGTTACGTAAATTACCATGGGATGAAGAGCTTCCTTCTGATTTGAACGACGAGTGGTCTGAGTGGTGTAGCGAGCTTTCAGAACTTAGTAACATTAGTGTTCCAAGATTTGCTTTGGATTCATGTGATGAAAATATAGAGATCCATGTTTTTTCTGACGCAAGTCAAAAGTTGTATGGTGCAGCCGTTTACGTAAAGGTACAGAATCAAGAAAAAATTTCTGTGAATTTGCTGGCTTCCAAGAGCAGAGTTTCACCTGTCAAAAAAGTTTCCTTGCCTCGACTTGAATTGCTGGGTGCACTGATTGCTGCAAGATTGGGAACGGAAGTTAAAAAGTTCTAGATCGTAAAGGTTCATCTAATATCTTTTTTTGGAGTGATGATTCTAAAGTTACACTGTATTGGATCAAAGGATCAAGCAGGAGATGGAAGTCTTTCGTTCAAAATCGCGTCGACGAGATTCAGAAGTTGACTAATCCAGATTCATGGTTTTATTGTTCAACCAAAGACAATCCAGCCGATCTTCTAACGCGTGGAGTTAGTGCCTCTTCTCTAGTGAACCAATTCTAAGTGGTGGACTTGTGCAGAATTTTTTACAGAGCCGCATCTTCCCTACAAGTGCTTACAACCAATAGTTCCAGAGGTTGAGAACCTAACACCAAATGAAAGGGAGTCCTTGTGCAAGAAAGCAAAAGTTCTAGTGACATTAATGACATTTCTGAGAGAACTATGTTGATTGACATGAACTCTAACGTTTTAGACGAACTCTTGAATATTAGTAACAATTATTATAGAATAATTAATGTTCTTTCTTATATTTTTAGGTTTATTTGTAATTGCAGGAAAGGTGAATCAAGAAAGGTAGGCCCTCTTCAACTAGAGGAGGTAAGAATAGCTGAGGAAATGCTTATTAAGCATGAGCAGAAGGTTCTATTTTGTAAAAAGGACATAACAGGTTAACTTAAAAAATTTACATCCCTTTGTTGATCGTAAAGGAATAATTCGCGTTGGTGGCCGTCTTGAAAAAGCTTCTTTACCATTTTCTCAGAAATATCCTGCAATCCTACCAAAAAATTCTAAGCTAAGTAAGATTTATTTTTCTAGTGTGCACAGAAGATTATTGCATGTTGGCCCCCAAGGATTATTGAATGCAGTACGTTTAAAATTTTGGCCATTAGGTGGTAGAGATTTGGCGCGAAAAACAGTACATCTTTGTGTGACATGCTTTAAATGCAAACCGATTTTGTCTTCACAGATTATGGGCAATTTGCCATACGAGAGAGTTAATAGATCACCCCCATTTAGTGTTTCAGGTTTGGATCTATGCGGTCCCTTTTATGTGACTTACAAGCATCAGAGAAAGGGCGTGCTAAATAAAATTTACATTTGTGTATGTATATGTTTTGTGACACGAGCTATTCATCTTGAGCCTTTGTCAGATTTAACTTCTAGTGCTTTAATTGCCACTCTTAAGCGTTTCATGGCCAGACGTGGCAAATGTGCGAAAATATTCACTGATAATGCCCCTAATTTTGTAGGAGCAAATTCTCTGTTGAAGAAATTTTACAATGTAATTAATTTTCCTGATAAAACTTTGGCCTCATATTTCACGTCCGAAAGAATAGACTGGAACTTTATACCTCCCAAGTCCCCTCATTTCGGAGGGCTATGGGAAGCCGGTGTAAAGTCCGTAAAGTATCATTTAAAGAGAACGATAGGAGATTTGCGTTTTACATATGAGGAGTTTGAAACTATAATTGTGCAGGTAGAGGGAATACTAAATTCGAGAACTCTTACACCTATTTCCAATGATTTTGATTGTTATGACGTTTTGACCCCAGGTCATTTTTAATAGGGAGATCAATACAGACGATTCCGGAGCCAATGATAATAGACGTAAATGAAAATCGGTTAAGCCGGTGGCAGAGAACAACGAAAGTAGTTCAAATTATTTGGAAGAAATGGTCAAATGACTATTTAGGAACTCTGCAGCAGAGAAACAAGTGGATGATAGAGAAGGACAATATTTCTGTTAGTACTATGGTACTCGTCAAGGAGGATTATCTGCCAATTTGCAAATGGATATTAGGTCGGGTTATTAAAGTCTATCATGGATCTGACAATAAAGTAAGAACGGTTAAAATCAAAACAAAATCAGGAGAATTAAAAAGAGCGATAACAAAGATCGCCGTTCTTCCGATAGAAAACTGAAATGATATTTTTGCATATGTATTGTATTGTTATAGTATTGTAATAGCTGTAGTTATAGTAATAGTATATTATGTTGTTTATAAGTATATTAACTTTGTTTAAGAATGTTTGTATAATTTCTTGAAATTTTGTAATTTCAATCCGGGGGAGTGTTAAGTCCCTCTGAAGCCAGATGGCGCTGCCATCGTTACTGTTTACAAAAAGAATGTTAATTACTTTGGAGTTGGCTTCAATGGCGAAGCAGAGAGTGATTGTGGGAGCCTGAGCGTCTCTCAAAAATTAGTATAATAAAGATAAAGATATGTTACAAAGTAGTTTGTAAATTAGTTTAATTGAGAGTTACAGTCCATTTAGAAATCGCCGGACCACCAGTCAAATAATTATATTCCGAAATGAAGATCGTCAACGTACCTGATCGTAGAATGTTGTATATGCAGTTACATGGAATAATCTTGAGATGTTTAGTTTACATTTAGCCTTCTTAAAAGTGTGTCTCATGCTCATTGCGCTCATGCATAAACTCATTCAGAACCATCTACCATATGTAATTATAATGCTTTCGATGTCAATAATTGTATTGACATCTCCCTGTTGCCGCTGGATTTCAAAATTAATTCTCAAATTTTCAGTACCAGTTCAAGAGATTATTTACCTCGTGGAGAATTAACTATGATTCTGCCATGTTTGATCAACATGCCACCGTCAGCTTGTTGACTCTAGCAAGCTGTTAAATGATGTTACTAACTACTGTCGTATTTCAGGCTCTACTCTGAATATTAATTACGATAACATGTAAGTTGAGCATACTTTCTATGCAATACATAGCAATCGCAAAATTACATGAGATGAATATTGCAATACCTAAATTTCAAACTTTCTGTCATGGGCAAATATGACTGTTATTTGATAATAAGCTTCAGAGTGATAGGTCGCAACTTGAAATAGTGCGCAAATTTTAATAATTCATAAAATACTGTTTTTTGTTTCATTATAGTACATTCATACAAGAAATCAAATATCCGAGATTGCTTTAGTACCTTTTTTATGCCTCTACCTATTTGTATGGTATGATATGCATATTATTGCTGTTTAGATAATTATTCGAAGAGAAGGTTACGTAAAATGGGAGAAATCAACGGGAGTTACTATCTATTAATAATGCTGACATTATTAATAAGTTATTCTGACATATCAGATCAGATGGAGTTTCTAGACTACAACATACTATGCAAATATTGATAAATTAACAATGTTCATTGATTGGTGTTAATCAACTTTGAACAATAGATAGTATAAATGCCAAGCTGAATTTTCAAAAAGTAAAATATAATCTTAGACTGATATTAGTATACATTAAAATAAGTATATTAGATTTAAGATCAAAAGCAGCTAATCTCCGAACTCTTATAGAAACTTGAGAATACATTGCACTAAAAGCTAGACAGACTGAATCTAGTCTTATACATCAGTGGTATACGTTAATAAAATTTTATAACTAATAAAATAATAAATTTCTAGCTTTTCCAAACAACTTTGGTCATTTTTCCCGTAAAACGTTTTTAATACTCTGGACCAGGCAGTTTGGGAAAGGAATGAAATTATTCCTATAATAACCTGCGGGTTTAGTTTGGTTTGCTTTAGATGATTATGGTAAAATACACTAAGATTATCTGTATAAAGAGATGGATTGCTTCGTGGAGGATTTCCTAAGGAAAACTGCATCGTATACATGTTATACACGAGGAAAATTCCGAAAGCGCCCATGAGCCTCTTCGCCTGGAATCTAATCCAGGTCAGAACTACCAGCATTCAGCGATTTTACCGTTCGACCGCTGA